GAGTTTCATAAAGGGTTCGGTTCCCTGCCTGAAGCCATCTCGGAGTTTCATAAAGGGTTCGGTTCCCTGCCTGAAGCCATCTCTGAGTTTCATAAAGGGTTCGGTTCCCTGCCTGAAGCCATCTCTGACTTTCATAGAGGGTTCGGTTCCCTGCCTGAAACCATCTGGGAGATGAGAAGGATTTTCCACACGGACCCAACTACCACCACTCCTTTGGACCGGAACATCAGCATTGGCTGGAAGACAAAAGACATTGGAAGTAAACAAGCTTCTAAAATCATAACGATACTCAAGAGGTGACTTAGAGGGTACATTTGCTTAGCTAAATGTGATCAAAATCATGTTAAACAGGTTATCATGTTCATTTCTATGTTCATGATGAAAAGATACCTAACAATTTATTTTTAATTAAACCTCAATAATGTCCTGGGACTGAATAGAAAGGCAGAGTCATTACAATATAAAATTCATCCTGAGGGGGCTCAATAGCTCTACCAAATTTGAGAGGATAATTTGTTAGTTCTTGAGATGTCAGCTACTGGCTGCCCTAATAGAGGATGACCATTAACCATTAACCATTTGGATTCATTCACTGGGGAACGTGAATAAATGTGAAAAAAATGTCATTTGAATCCAACCAAAAGTTGTTGAGATATTTCAGTCTTGGCCAAATTGGCCTGTGTCAGTAGGATCATGTAGGTAGGAGGTAAAAGTAGGCTCTGTACCTTGTCTAGAGCCATCAGGAACAGATTGATGGACATCACTTGATGACTTCTGCAAACCTCTAGGGGTTTTGATTGGGACAGCTTGGAGGCCTGCAAAGGATTACAGTTACACTATATAACTATAATATACATGAAGCTTCATTTGCACACCCTGCCTTTGACACTGGTGTTCGACTTGTTTAACATTATAGCACTAAGCTTGCCAGTTGATGGATACATAAATGTGTGGCCTTTTAGGTCAATTATTAACTATTGTGCAATGCTGATATATAGGCCACGACCTTTCTTTAACAGTGTGATAAATCAATGATAACGGTCAAAGTCTACGTTCTGTACTTCCATTAGGGAACTACAGAATGTTTACTGTCATTTGTTTTGCTGCCAAGGCAAGAAACAACAGAGCCAACATTAATTATGCCAAGGACACCTCAAAATAAATAAAACATTTGACACTGATCAGCCAGGAAAGTTAATATATAGACTGAATCCTACTGATGTTTCACATAATTGTATTAGTTTTTAAAGATAATTGAAATATAGGGATGGAAGTTTGGATATCAAAATGTTTTTATATCTAGATCTGCTGTGTCGGAATTGCATGATTCTAAGATAAAATCTGTTCTGTATTTTGCACTTATTTCATAAACTCATCATAAACTGATATGTAGAGAAATAGGCCCCTCTTCCGTGGAGCTAGCTCCTAGGATTCGGGAGACTGTAACCTTCTTTATGTTGAAGATTAGGCTTAAGAAAGCGTTCTGCATTTTAACATTAGTCATTATTAATCTCGGCCTCTCTTCCACAGTGCATATTTTGTCCTGTCTTTCTCCCATTACCCCCAAGCGGTTGCGTAAAATTGCTGCCGCGACATGAGCCTCGTTCTGCAGGGGGTTTCTCCCTGTTAAAAGGGAGCTTTTCCTTCCCACCATAACGAAGTGCTTACTCAAATTGGGTTGTTTAATTGTTGGGGGTTACTCTCTATTATTGCAGGGTCTTAACATTACAATATAAAGCACCCGAGGCAACTGTTGTTGCGATTTGGCAACAACAGTTGCCTCAGAAACACATCATCTGAAAATTAGGTGAGCAGTAATGATATGAAACAAATATCTAGCCACAAATGAATAGGCATGTTTTACTGCACCAGTGAAAGGTGAAGGCAGTGAGATCTTACCTGACAGTGCCAGGAGCAGTAGCACTAACTTGAACATCCTGTAAGGAAATTGGAAGAAAATGTTTTACTTCTTCTTCATAAGCCTATACAACCTACAAATGTATCCAGGCTCTCCTTAACGGAGTTGTTTTTAAGCTCGTTTGTATCCTGCTTACCTGAGGCTGTAATGAGGAATGCTGCAGCAGTTCAGAAAGAAAAGGCCACCTATTAATATGTCTTTCTTGGTCATAAACCTTTTTAAAGAGATTACTGATTAATGTAATCTAAATCTCCTGTAGCTCTTTATTGACTGATATTTGATGACCTTTGCCTTCACTCTAAACTGAACTTTGAACTCAGCACTAAATGTTTGCTGTCACTGTCAGCCACTGGCCTCTGACCCAAAGGTATCAAACACCTAGTTTTCCTTGACATCCTATGATACTGTATGCATTCTGTTTTCTGGGGCATGCAAGCATGTGAAGGGTGAATAGCACTTGGTTTAATCAAGGGAGCTCAATCAATATTTGTGAATGTGGACAGAGAGGGACGTTACAACAGATGGTAAACGTGACGCTGGAGGCCACTGAGGTATTTCACAGACCTTTGATGTTGGTGTAGAGCAGCGGTCCCCAACCCCCGGGCCTCGGACCGGTACCGGTCCGTGAGTCGTTTGGTACTTGCTTAGAGTTGAGGCTCAGGTGTGAAATGTATGGTTTTGAGGGTTTTTATAGGTTTTCAGCGTTATTTTGTTATCGTTTTTATCGTTAACTCGGTTTTCCTGGGTCTTTTCACGTGTGTTATGAATAAATCTTCTTTTTTTCGGTACCGGTACTAGTTTTATTTTGTTGTATTTATCCGCGACACCTTAAAGGCTGGCCCGTGAAAATATTGTCGGGCATAAACCGGTCCGTGGCGCAAAAAAGGTTGGGTACCGCTGGTGTAGAGCACTTGTTCAACTTTGTAACCCTGTAGCCATCAGGACATGGGGTGTAGATGGTGGTTAATATTCATGGTCACTTTTTATTAGCAATGATTAAAAAGTGAGTAACTTCTAACTTGATTCTTCTGAAATGCCTCAGATTTAATATCTCTCGTGAACTCGTGGTGCTTAAAAGATGATTTAAAAAAACAGTTCAAAAGTTCAAGGTCATTTTGACATTACTGCTCTTCTTCGCTGGTCAGAGTAACGCGTGAAGGATTTGACCTTTATTAGGAAACACACTGAACTTTCTAGATGTCTATACTCACACACACGGCGGGGCGGTGACTCCGCAAGCAGCCCTCCACTCGGAGACGTGCTAACTCCGTACTACCGGCTGACGCGGTAATTTAAAACGAGCGTTAGTACAGTTTGATTGGCTAGTTTACACACTCACGTAAGCGGGCACGGGGACGTTTGTTCTTACCGGAATCAAGTTAGCGCCGATGACTTTCAAAATAAAAGCAAAATAATGCATTTTTAATCATGAAGGGAAGCCAAGACGTTTGTTTTTTATTAACACCCACTAGGATAACGGTCTTATTTTATTTTAAACTGCGGGTATCAAATTATAATCCATAGATGGACACAATATGTTAGTAGCTAAAACTTTTATTTTGACGACATGGCAGGAAGTTGTATTGCGCCTGATTGATCTTTGTTTGTCAGGAACTACACAGAGAGCGGTCATGTTTGCGATTTGACTGCATAACCCTGGGCGGTGTTGATAGTTATCTGTCAACTTTGTGTTTTGTTGTGGAGTATCATTGGTGCTCCACTGCGTTATCAGGTGATTGATTTGGGGTCTTGGACAACAAGCAGTTGCCATATGTTTCACGTTATGCAATGACAGTGACAGAGTGACTTTTTGCAGCTAAAACAAGCTAGCCCCGCTAGCCTTCTCGATCGGTTCAGTCAAACATCTTTAGGTCTCTGCTGAGAAGTTACGCGCTCGACAGGTGTCTGCCATTCGCAGCTCGTAAATCCTCTCCGTTAGTTTTTCAGCTTCATTTTTGTGCTTCAAATGGCTTTGGTAACTACGTTAAGACGGCTGGTTCAGAATAGTCTACGTGAATATTCCCGGAAGGCGTCGGCAGTAACCTGGCCGACGAAACAAAGGAGTTTTTCCGTCGGCACACAGCCTCTCAGGTAGGTTATTTTACTAAAACACCTACTATTAACAGGACTGCCTAACCTGGTGATGGATTGAGCCGCACGCCAAACTCCAGTCAAAAAATGTGCAATTTATTGGGGCTCTTCTTTCCAGCGCATTCCTGGCATTCAAAATCATGTAGAAAAGAATGTCCCTTTCACAGAGCAGGGTGTTTTGTGTCGTGCTGTTTCAAAACATTTGAAACTAGGCTCATGTTGTTTTTCAAAACGACAAAGCAGAAACACTTAAATTCCAGCCTAGCGGTGGGTCATTTACTTTAAGTCAGTTTAAATGGACTAGCGGGGAGAAAGCAAAGGAGAGGAAAGTCTACGTGCTTTTAGGTCTCAGGAGAACTAATTTGCAACTTAAATGTGCCAATATTCCAATATGTGTTGAAACACTGAGGGGCGAAATGTGTAGTAAAATATATGTGAGTGTGTAATTGGGTTGATGAGTCTTAATTTAGTTCCTAGAAAAAGTGGTGCTTGAAGTCAAAGTGATTAAGAACACCACACGTGTGCGGCTGATGTCCTTGGGAGCAGGCTGAAGCCTCACGTGTCCACAAGGTGAAAGTGAGCCATCTTCCCACTCAGGTACAAGGCTCTGACCACAGCTGGGCTTCTCAGTGCCAGCCACGCTGTTGGAGGGCAGCATGACTGTTGACCTTGTGCTCAGGTTGAAGGTTTTTTTTTCTCCAGGCTTGCCTTAAACTGACTGACACTGTCCTCGTGTCCTCACGTCGCCCTCCCTTAACTAACCAGTTTAACGTTATTGTTGCCAAGTGCGAGTGTGTTTGTCCTGAGAGGTCGTGCAGTGCAGGCCTTTCAGGAAAGAGCATGAACAAGGTTTTGTTTTTAAAGTGAATTATAGGGGACTTGTGCGTTAAATCTATGTTGTAGGTACGTCATTACCCCAAACCCCTCTGAAACTACATCGTAACCTGACATGCACTTTCCTTGAAATCTCAGACCATAAACGACTTATAAATGTGAAATTTTAGAAATTAAAGCGATCGATTACATTTTATATATTTGTGCCATATCCATCCATCGTCAAAAGTATCGAAACAGCAGGGCCATTTAATTTTTCATCAGATATTGAGTGTTTAATCAGGAAGAAGCCCTGGATATCTACTCTCTTTGGCTTTGTCTTTCACTTCTGAAGACTGTATTTGTAATTGAGAAGGGTACGCCATCTGTGGGACAAAGCAGGAAAGTCCATCAGAGGATTTTCAGACACACTGGGCACAGCCACTATGTCAGTACAGAACATCCTGAAAAGGAATGAAACCTCTTGCCCCGAGCTACATGTATTAAATGGATTGGCTTGTCCAAGGAAGGCAACAATAAGGCTTGAAGAACAGCGATGTAGAGGTCATAATGCAATTTGCACTCATTAGCTGTAAAAATCTGAAAGCCTGAATGGAATTTGCAGAATGAGCAGAAGTCTACAAAAAGATATTGTTTGCCAGTTTACAGAGAGCTCATCTGGAGAAGTCCTTTGTTAAGAGAGGACTTTAACCAGATCTTAACCTAAATTAACCCACACTTCACCTCCCGAAGAGAAGCACGAAGGGAGAAACTCTGCAAAACAAACAACTAAAAGATTTTGTGGTAAAAGCTGAAGTGGCAAAACCAATGAAGAAATTGGTATGATGTTAGGAATTTAATTGCAACAAAATAAAAGCATTAAGCTATCTGTCATTTAAAAAAAATGTAGGAATATGAGAAATGGGTGCACTGATTTATTGAAGCCTGTTCATTATTGATTTTTCACTCAGGTTCTTGTGTAACTTGAAATACCCCAGTCTTTTCTCCCTGTCTCTTCCTTAAGAATGGCTTCTTTGTGACAGCCACATTTACACTGAGAGCATTTGTGATGAGGCTTCATTGGACAGTAGATGGATGAAGGTCCATCTATCAGGTCCTGTGTCAGCTACAAGGTCTGGACTGAAAATGAGTGAGAGAGCAGCCAAAGCAAACTTTGAAAGACCTTCAGAAAATCTGAAGAACTGCTGCTCAAGACTGCTGTGAAAATGAGTCTGGCTCCTTGGAAGCAAAATAAAATAAACGTGGAGGGTGGCTTAAGACTTTTACACAGAACTGTAATTAGATTGGTCGCAGCAGATGGCCGCCCTCCCTCAGCCTGGTTCTGCAGGTTTCTTCCTGTTAAAAGGGAGTTCTTCCTTCCTACTGTCACCAACTGCTTGCTCATAGGGGGTTGTCTGATTGATGGGGTTTTCTGTTTTATTTTAGGGTCTTTACTATCTAACCTTGCTGTGTTTTGGTGATATATAAATAAAATTTAATTGATTGTAAATAGCAGAGAATAAAAGTGCTGATTTCATGCACACATGTCTTCAGTGCACAGCACACATATACCCCCCACTGTAGCATCCCTGGCTGAATGATGGTCTCTTATACTGATGCTTCACAGAGGTTTTATTGGAAATGTTTTTATTGAAACATTCAGTGAAGACACCGTAAGAGCTAGGAGCAAAACAAAACCAGCAATATTAATACATTAATATTAATAACATCAAAGGAAACAAATTTCTCCTGCTCACATATAGCATATACATCCAATTTACATCACTCAATTCATTAAATCACCTCACTAACTTACAACTACACATAAAGGTTAAGGTCAAGGTTAACAACATAAACTCTATTAAACGACATTTTGATTGCATGTAACTTATTCCGTTAAAGGAAACATTAACAAACCTTGTGCCACTGTCAGCCAGGTACTAATTGGCAAAGGAAACGTACATATTTTTCACTTTAAGGCACACACTATTTACCATATCCTAAAAGAAACGTTACTAACAGCCCTTTAACGGTTTTGCGCCAGTTTCCTGTTTCAAAATAAAAGCATGGATTTCAAAATAAAACCGAAGTACCTTTCAAACAAACGTAAAAAATATTTACCAAATTTAAAGGTCATTTACACCCACCACGCAGAAGAAAGGTGGTTAAAGAGAGCTAGACAAGCTTATTTCAGGATGACTTAATGAGCTTCACTATGGACCAGTATAATGTAAATGAGGAGTACTTACTCATTATATGAAATTATAACTCTGTGTTGGCATCGGTATCAGTTTTTAGACTAAAACTTGGCACTTGGCAAAGTTTGTGCTGTAGTTTTCTCTTAGTGATAGACAGGAAAATTCATTTGTACGTGTTATTTTTAGGTCCCTGTTGTTCCTTCATTGTGGCCTTATGCTGTAAATGTAGTTAAATATTGGATATCATGGGATAGCCCCCTGAAAACCCTGAAAATGATAAGCAAGCAGAAAAGGATGGATGGTTAAACAAGTTCATGATCTCTTTGTGTGCGTGTGTGTGTGTTTCTTTACTCTTATTCTTTAGGATGCAGGTGGGCGGAGCTTGTATGATGAAATTTTAGGGATCTCATTATCTGCAGCTGTTGGTCATAATATGAGTCTCCACCACAGTAACAGTGTGAACAGAAAATAAGGAACAGTAGATGTTCTCTTTAGGGCACCGAGGAATCTTTTGACATGAATGTAACTATCAGTAGTGGCCACCAGAGGGCAGTGACGTCTGGCAGTTGGACTGTGCAGTGCTATATAGGGAAAACTGGATAACATAAGGGTCCAAACTTAGTAATTATGTCATACATAAAACCTGTAAGTTTATCAGTCCAACAGTTGGGTTCCAGTGTTCCTGTCAATCAAACTAAGGTCATGTTTTTTGTGTGTCTCAGATCGGACAACAAGGTGACTGTCAACTTCATCAACCGAGATGGGGAGAAGATCACAGTGAAAGGATCGCCTGGAGATTCTCTGCTAGACGTTGTCATCAACGAAGACCTCGACTTTGATGGTTTTGGTACGCACAGAGCGAGTTTCACAGGCCTGGACCTATCAGAGAGCTGCATGTATGTGCCTGAGCTACTTCTCATCCATCGTGTGGAGTTCTAAAGGTGTGTGTGTGTTGTAGGAGCGTGCGAGGGAACACTGGCGTGCTCCACATGCCATCTGATCTTTGATGAGGAGATGTATAAGAAGCTGGGGCCCATCACAGACGAGGAAATGGACATGCTAGATTTAGCCTACGGCCTGACTGACACGTAAGGAAGCACACGTGAACACTCACAAGGCCACTGTGCTAAATTGTCATTACACTGATTTTAATTGATGTGATAGTTTATCGACACTCTGCTTATATAACTGCAAGGCCATGTTTTAAATAGTGTTTGGAGAACGTGGATCTTGGCTATGTCAGCTTTTGTGTGATTCATTCTTTGTCTTTTTGTGTTAATTGAAGGATAATTAACACATGGATAAACGATTAGAGGCTGAAGCTTTTATCACAGTAGTCCTACAGCCTGGCTGATGCAGAAGAATTAGTTCTGGTGGCATAATAAGATTTGTCAGGGCTGATCAGTTAATCATTGAGAGACAAAGGACTAAACATGAGAGCCTTCTTTCACTTAGGATATCAGCTTTATTTGCAAACAATGCTGGACACTGTTGTTAAAGCAGCTTTTAGATTCAAAGCAAATGGCACATTCATGGCTGGCTAAAAATGAGAAGCATCCTTCATCAGACTTGAATTTAACATGCTTCTCATCTCCCCTTTGCAGATCTCGTCTGGGTTGCCAGATCTGCTTGACGAAGTCTCTGGAGGGAATGGTAGCCAGGGTTCCAGAGAGTGTAGCCGACATCCGACAGACCAAAGATGGATTATCTTAACAGGAAACATGTGGCTGAGAACATGAGTGTAGAAAGTGAGGGTACAACACATGCACACAGAGACGATGGTAGGTGGAATCTGTCAGTACTGCTGTGGGCTGCCATAGAACTCTTTTCCCACTTTCTTTTAATAATAAAGTCATAGCTTACTAAAGTGAGCTCTCAAAAACCAGGAAGTTCAAATATGCAATTTTGACTTTCAAATTAATTTTTTTATAGAATGTAAACCTGCAGTACGCAAGATTTTTAGACTAACAAGGCTGTAATGCTCGGCTTACAGGAGAAACCTGCAGGCCTTAGTGTGGAATCAAAATATTTATGAGATATAAACTGCTGTCTGTTCTGTTTATTTTAATCACTGCCTGGGGGGGGAAAAAAAAATACTTGTTGTACCTTTTCTTCCTGCCTAATTTCCTAATTGTGACTAAATTTACAATGTGAGCTCACGTTTATATCTCAGCACAGAGCTGGACCTTCTGGAAATGTACACACTTCCTCTCACATGAACAGTTAGTCATGTCTGCGGAGGACCCAAACTGCCAAAAGAAAATGTGACTTGGTATGTAAAGTCATGTAGAATCATAAACCTCCCATATATCGCACTTTGACTGATTTCAGTTCAAAGTGTCAGGTATTTAAAAAAAGATATATATATGAAAGCAAATATTAATGCTGAAGAAAGTTAAACATTATTTTGTCAGTTTTTCTAAACACATTTTAATAGTTTTGTTCCATTTACTGGAATTCTTTTTTTTTTTTTGATTTTGGTATTTTTGGACTTCCATGTCGACTCAACAAGGCTAAAGGAAAAGGTGGTACGCCTGACTGAAATGTTCACGTATTGAACAACAAGAAGTTCAACACCTTACAGATTTCTTCTGCTGTCCCCTGAAAAATGTTTATTTTTGATCAGATCCTTCATGTAACCTTAATTTCATCTTGTTTGTGTACACACAACCATCTGCGTTAAAGAATGAAAGAAAAATAAAACTTCCTCTTTCTAGCAGCGTGCTGATCTGTTGGTTCTTTAATGTCACGTTAAATATGCTGTTTGTACAAAGAAAAGAGGACAAAGGGATCCCTTCCCATGAAATCTCCCCAAATTAAAGCAGTAAGCACACATTTAATTTCAGCTCATTTTATTTGCATATGCAAAAGTATAGTGACAGCGTATAAATACATGTACATATATAACAAGGAGGCAGTAGACAATATTAGGAAGCAACAGTCCTGTGGCCTATTTCGGTGTTTTAAGCTGCATAAGATGCAAAGCTCATAAAACATGATTAAGTTCAATCAGTACAGGCTTATGTGAACAGCATTGTTGGCAACAAAAACAAAACAAGAAGCTATAAATGTTGCTGCTGCAGTCGTCAGTATCACAGCAGGCTGATGTGAGTGTTAATGCCAAGAAGCATTTGACATGAACTGCTCAGCTGACTGTAATCACAAACGTCTCCATGTTAATATTTATCCAAACACTAAATCTGTTCACTAAAAAGCATTAACGCTGGAAAATAGTTAAGCTGCTAACAGTCGACATGATCCCGAGCAACGCTTGATTTTTGGGGAGCATTCTTCACATATACAGGATATACACGTACGGTTTGTTTAAATATACTGAATGATGTCATGCTTTTATACCTTTCCAACAACATGTCACAAACTAGTCTACCTACACATTTACGATACTTCTGAGTATTGTAAACAACTGAGCTGAAGCCAAACTACCGATCAACACACAGACTGAGCTGTAGTTCAGAACCAGACTATTAAAACGTAGAGGCAAAGTCACAGTGTGTACCCAGGCTGCATTTACACTATTTATAATGTGACTATTAATTTCAATAAATTATGATTGTACCACCTGCTTTCTGCAAAACTGTGGTTGAAGTAACGTGTGATACCAAATACTGCATGTTGCCCATAATCTGTTTAGGCTGCTTGGGTGGGACTTGAACTAAAACAACAGTTTTTCTGAGCTGCAGTTAACCAGAAGGCATTTCTCTGAGTGAGTCTTTGTTCATTATGAAGAAGGCAATGCCAGGTGTGTTTAGATTGGCAGGTTTTAACTTTGGCCTGATGTACATTGGGAAAAAAAAAAAAAAAAAAAAAAATCAAGAAATTTTACACCAAAATAGTTGATCTGCTTTGATCAGAATGAATGTTATTTGAGCTTATTGGTCATACATTAGAACACTTTTTGCATGTGTAAATCCAGCCTTTAGGACATTTAAGCAAAGGGTTAGGGGGAGATTCACTTTACTTTAATGGCATTAAGCACTAAGCAAAAACTCAAACACACTTTTACTTTCTGCTCCATGTCCACCTTAGCCAACAGATTATATTTCACGTGGTGCTCCAGATAGCAAAATGCTCCCAGTGACACCAAAGCCTTAGTGTCTGATGACGGAGTTCATTTTAAGGTTATGAATACGACCACCGTGCTGAAACTGAGATGCTCTGTTTGTTCCACTTGTTGGAGCGATGCTGTACTTCAGTTTGTTTTCACCAACTCTTCAAACGTAGGATTCCTCAGCAAACAGGAGCTGGTCAAAGTCTGGCTCTGCTGTGGGATCGCTGCATCTCTTCACCCACTCCCTGTGGCCCTCCACCAGGGCGAGCGCCACCTGGTGGCTGTTCTGGGGATTGCTTTGGGGGTGAGAGGAGAAGTAGTCCCGCACTGCTTTGGTGGCACAGGGGGAGAGGCAGTAACGGGCCTCTGATGTGCCTCCTTGTGAATCCACCCCGGACACTTTCAACCCCGGGTCACTGGGCAACCTTGCCCGGGTGAAGGTGGTGGCTCGGTCCACAACTTGACGTCCCGGTTCGGACCCGCGGCGCTGATATAGCCGGGCGTTGTGGTCCTGCTCTGTGGATTGAGACTTGGGTCGCTTGAATAGGGACAGTGATGGCCCCCCATGCTTGTAAAACACAGACGGCGATGGCTGCTTCAGTTCAGTCACATCACTTTGCACAGCACACTTCTGCGCGCTGGTATCACTCCTGGGATTTTTCTGCCTTAAAGTTATCGGGGCCTCTGGGGAATGGAGCCAGGCAGATTTAGGGAACTGGAGGTTTCCTGTAGACTGATAGTGTGAAGGGGGACTGGAGGAGTCCTGCTTGAGGAGCCCTGCTTTTCCCTTCACATGGCTCCCTCCTGCTCCACCTGCATCTTTGGGAGGTCTACAGGATGTTCTGAGTTTGGTTTGGCTGCCTGAGATCAGGTTTGCAGCTCCTTTCTCACCTGCTTTTCCTTTTTCTGGTTTCCCAGGTGTGAGCGACTTATCAGAAGGCCCTCCCTGGGTGGAGACAAAGGCAGATCACATAAACAACTGTCGGGAAGTTTTAGTTCTTGAGCTTTGAGAACTAATGTAGTCCAGAGAATCTAACCTCTAAGGTTCATCTATTCATCATTCAGGCTCTTCTAACTCCATCTTACAGTCTTTATACAGTAAGGGGAGCTGGCTCAGGCAAGTTTCTGAGGGAATATTACTTCCATCTGTTACTTGGTCAGCTTTACGTCCGAGTCAAACAGTCCAAAAAGTTTCTAATATTATTATCAATACTCGTAATAATGCAATACAACTATTATGGCAAACCTTGACGTGGACAAAACTGTTGGTACTTTTCCATTATAGAAAGAAAAACCCACAACAGTCACTGCAATAACTTGAAAAGGACATAAGCAGTATCTATTCATCCAGAGTAATAATTCATATTGGTTTACTGAAAATTAACTAATGAATTAGTAAAAAAAAAAAAAAAAAGCTTCATAAAAATAAAAATAACTTCAGTCAAGTGATTTCTCAATGAGGCTTCTGCACCTCTCTACAGGTATTTTGGCCCAATCCTCATGAGCAAACCGCTTCAGCGGTCTCAGGTTTGAAGGGTGCACGTTAAACTTTAGTCACAGGAACATCAAGCTGTGTGGAGTTTTATAGCCTTTAACCACAATTCAAAAGTGGTCCACACATCAGGGCTGTCAGTGGTGTTCGGATAAAGTTCAGAGGATAAAGTCTAGGTGAGGTGTTATCCAAATAAATGTTCCAGCTATCTGGCACCAGAAACACTAGTTTGTCTCATTCATGTCACCAGTGTAACACAGCACTTCATTTTTGTATTAAGCTGCCACCTGTCGCACAAAACAGCTCCCCCAAAAAGGTTTTGGATAAAGCGAATGGTTGGCTGTAGGTCAGGGGTGTGAGACGTTTACATGGTGGGCCACATACAGCCCGCTTTGATCTTAAGTGGGCCGGACAACTGAAACGCTGCTTTCTGTCAGTGTAAAGAAGTCACATATTTAACTGTTTTTCTGCATCATAAAGAGAAAGCTGCTGTCAGAAAGGATGACCTGTCAGCATAACTATTTGGACTTAAATTGTAAGAATTAAATGTGTAAAATTACAGAAAAGGTTCTCTTAGCTGATCGCCCAGACTGTCCAGTTTTTTTTGTCTTGTTATTTTTTAACTGTAGTCATAAGAAAACAAGACAGACGTTTCTATAGTAGAAGGTGAAAAACTTTTCTGTCATTTAATTCTTTATTGCTTAATTACTTTGTGTAGTATGAATGTTCATAAATTATAAGTCCAAAATTTCTGCTTGTGCTTGCTTGTGCTGTGCCATGGCTCTGTGCTACATGCAGACATTTCTGCATCTCTGCCATTCAAAGACACTTTGCATATAGTTTATTTTATATAACATTCAGTACGGAACTCTACATTGTCAAGAAAGCAATTTTGTATTCAGTGTTTTTATAAAAGCCTTATTTTTAGGCATTTATTAGGGAGAACACACGTGAGGTTTAAGGCCTGGACAAGTTTCAAACCTTTTGTCCTCCTCAATGGAAAAGTGCCTAATTGTTTGACAATCTTACTGTAGGGTTGTCAGAACAAATAACTAAACTGCTAGTGCTAGTGCTGCTAATGGTAAGCATATACTTGGCTTTGGTTCTCTGGAT